CTCCCAGACGAATCTGGTACCAATTCACCGACCCCGGAGGGTTGGAAGGCTCGGTTGGCCTAGGCGGGCACCGATCCAGGTTATGAACTCCTGACCGTGCGTGCGAGATAGTGTCACTTGCCACTACACCACCTCCGCCCGCTACCCATTAGAACTATTGAAAAAGCCTGAAAATTGCACAACAACTGTTGCGCGCGGTCACGTTGCGGTCTTTTATGACACTCTCTTTTCTGCTATGTAGTTTGATCCTCTTCAAACTCTTCTTAATTCAGAACTACTACTTTTTCAGTTTTTTGCATCGTATGTTAGAAAGCAGTGTCGCTTAATGTGATATCGCAGCAGCTTTACACTGTTCGCGCTTTTACACACGCAACGCAGCCGCCCGCTTCATAGTTAGAATTCTTATCCGTTGGTTAGCGGTGGAGTGAAGTTTAAAACGCAAATTACTAGCAGTACTGCTCTCATAACAGTTAGCCACATTATATAAATCCGAAATTAGTCTAAAATCAGGTTTTTATGGTTTTCACTATTTTCATAGTCATTAAACACTGTTGAACTCACTTGTAAATGGATGGAAAGGATCGCTATATAAGAGCCCGATTCCTTGAGCCGGGACCATTGCGATGTTACAGCACCCACCGCTGGAAATGTGATACCGGTTGAAAAACCCTAAAATTGATTTTTTTTCGATTTCAGCGACTGCTTGAAGTTTTTGAAATTGGCAACACCTGTAAGAGACGTATAATCAGCACGTACACAAATCCCCATTCCACCGCAAGCGGAAGCATAAACGTCGAGATGGCCGAATTCACACCATAGATGGTCAGTGTTTTTCTTAGATAAGTTTTGAGTAAATTGGAAGAGGAAAGGTGATCAGCGGTATAAACATAGACATGACCAGTTAAGGCTTAAAAAAAGTGTTTTTTTGTTGTTTCGAGAAAAGGAAGTCGAAAGTACGTCAGGACTATTAAAGTGAGTTCAGATGGTATACTTCTCTCTTGAGTTAGATCCTGAAAGAAAATGGCGGAAAGCAAGCTGAAATATGAAAATAGTGCATGGAAATGTGATCAGATCCGAAAAACGAAAAGCATAAGTAAATGTGAACCTGAAGGTGGGAGCATTCAGGTGTAAATGCTCGAGTTAATCCTAGCTGAAGTTTGCAAAAATTTTCACTGAAAAATAGTGTTCCCTACATTCCTGGATGACTCGTTTCTTTTTCTGTCTTATCAATCTGTGCATTATTTGATGACGCTGATTAGTTATAATTATCATCGTATTGTTCCTTTTAGATGTTGAGTTTATTGATGTTATGTTAATCGATATCAATCAATATCGCACAGTCAATCAGATTTTCTCAGTACCTCATTCCTATTCGAGCAACCCACGTCACTGTCGGCAACGTTCCGATCAGTGCACCGATAGCTATTGCAGAAAAGAGTGCATTGGTGTGAGAAGGTGATTGAAGCCAATGAATCTCTGGAATTTCCACACAGAATTTCTTCAGGCATTATGCTTAGGTGTATAGCTCTATACTTTTTGAAATTTCTTTGCACTTTTCAGTAGGGTTGCAGAAAAACGGAGCAAAGAGTATGGTCACGCGAAGTTTTTCGTTCATTTAATATTATGTGCTTTTTACAACTTATAATTTATCTAATTATTGTTAAGATGGATCCCTTTGAAACTGGGAAAGTAAGCCTCATTGTCAGCAAAACATGCCCATTTATAATTACAACGATGGTATCAGATGTAGTGATAACTTGTTTGCTCCAACAAGTCCCAATGATAGATAACCTTTCAATCTTCGCACGACTAGAGGCCATAGAAAGGGCGGATGGAAACTTAATAAATCGCTCTCAAAAAACTATTTGTGTATTTTATCGATTCAAAAAGTTATCTGTAATTTTTATCTCCTGGATACTACAGTGAACATGGGTGCAATTCATTGTTTTCCCTCTAGTCAAGCATGCCACTGTTCTCAAATTTTGTTTTTGCTCACGTTTTTGGCTCTGTACATGCCCTATAATGTGCGATGTGAATTTGTCGCTCGCGGCGAGAGGAGCACCTTCAATTCTGATCGTCGCCGCGTCGAAACTGTACACCAAAACCTGTCTTTCCGAACTCCTAGTGTTTCCATCAACTTTTCCTAGTGTCCTGGCTCTTCTGAACCCATAAAAAGAGTTTTGTTTTGCCCCCGCCATTCATTCCGATGCATATCCCGCCCCTAGTGATCGGGGTTTCGCTGAACTGATATTGTGCTTTGCTGATCTTGCCTTAGGTTTCACCCATCCCGAACTCGACCCGATCTCTCCAAGTGCTTTTTCACATGATACCGAATGTTTTGATGGTCAAACAGCCAAACAAAGACACACACCAAACTCGTGGCGGTCAATAATGATTTCACTAAATCTCTATAGATCGGACCTGTGAAAAAATCACTGCTTTGCTCTCACATTTGGGCCAGGGGATGGACACGATTTTTACGTTGCGAAAAAGTCTTGCATTTTCCGAACTTTTCGTGATTCTGCTCTGTTGTTGAAATCCTTCTGATAAGTGCTAGATCTGCTCACCTCCAGAAGAGTTATGGCTCTGCTCATCAACGACGTCATCCATGCAGATTACGGTGAAATTGAGCGCCAATGGGTTACTTTGAATCATTGTAAGACATAGTGTAGACAGTACCAGAATAACTAGCCGGGTACGGTTGTAAAAGAAAAATCGCGATGGTGAGGTGTTGGTAGTGGCATCTTTCTTTGGTGCAGACTTGTCATCTTGATCACTCGGTTCTTTGTTTTTCGTCGCATCTTCGAATGTCACACTTGCCATGTACAGTAGTTACCTGAAATGGCTTCGAACATGAAATTTTCAGAACTTAAGTGTTTTCATACAATTATTCGATTTTCATTTGTTGAGTAGGGTTACACAGGGGATAATTCAATCAATTCATAGTCGGATCGCGATCGCGTCGATTAAGACAGGCAACTAGGCAGGCAGGGAATAGAAAATAAACAGAGGAAGCAAGATTCAGAGCTGAACTTTTGTAGAAAGAAAAGAACATTTGAAGTTTCCTTAGCTACGGTCCTCCTCGGCAATTCCAAGTGCACACGATGATAACAGCGATTGCTCTTAGCTAGGCTAAACTGTCAGGTATATTTCTGAGCATCTTCGGTAAATTTTACTGGCACTGCCATGACTAGTGAGAATTTCTTGTAAGCTAGTAGAAGCTAGAAACGTGGTGCTCCTCCTACTTAGTGGTAACCTCGAATTTCGCCCATCGATCCCAATCATTTGTACTTGTAAGGTTTTCACGTTTGGTTCGGCGGTCTTAGATTTCTACCCAGTGCTACGTCGTATGTAGATAATTCAGATCGTAAGCCCTTGTATAGAAGAGGTGTTCCTTGGAATGCAACGATAGTTACTGCTGAAAATTTAGTTCATGGCAATTGACAACTGCTGTATGTACCGTTCCCCTCTCCCCGTAGGCTTCACACGATTTTTAGAGAATGACAGAAGGTTCGATGCGGTTCGAGACAGCCAGGAGGTTTAACTGATTCAATTTGCTAAAGTCTATGCATATTTTTTTCAATTCAGATACCTATATAAATTAATGAAGATGAAAAACTGAAGAAAAAACCTATCAGTACGCGAAGCACAGGACGATGATTCGTAGCTTGTTGGCTCACAACCCTTATCGTAAGAATATAATTCTTTTTTTCTGTAAAATTTGCATTGAGCAATCGAGAACACTTAGGTACTGCACATGGAATTGGTAATACGACTTAACCTTCAAAACCCGTTCGAAAATTATAAGATGCAATGGGTTCTATTTGTCTAGGATGAATCACTTGCTCTCAAAGACACCGCAATTATATTTGTCTGCATGGCGTTACAGAACCAATCGTACCTAAGATTAAAGCCTTTCAAGCGAATTCAACAGTATTACCTAGTTAAGCGAAGGAAGATTTGTTCCAGCTGAAAAGAACTTCCAACTTAATGATCCATCCTACAGGGTTGAAATTTGCGCAGTTTATGCTTCCAGATTTAGACCGCTTAAGTAATCTTGTGATTGGAGCTTCAGAATTACTTACTGGGTCGATCAATCCAATCCAGTAACTTACTCTGGAGTTCCGTTAACAAAATTAATTCAGTTGTGCTGCCACCATTCCTGTAATATCCATCCCTGAGGTATTTCTCATTTTCAGTTAGAGCTTCATAATTCTACCTATATCTTTACCGTAAATTTATATACGACATAACGATATGTAATTTGACGCATAAATGAGCCACGGCCAAGGGTAGCTGCTACTGCAAGCATGGTCTGGTGTTCAACCTACTCGGGCCAACCGATTTTCCAATGAGGAGAGATTAGTTATTCGCCGGAGGAAATCAGTGTGAAATAGATGGATTTACTTTTGTATGTGGACTTTCGAATGCGATTGTATAGGTCAAATACACTCTCTGACACTACGGGGATCATGATGAGAGGTCAGCTTCCCTGTACTCTTAGAAAAGCTCGGTCAACAAAGAGGACTCGATTCTACAATGAACAAAGTCTTTGGGAAGTTTTATGAGGGAAGGGAAGTAGTGGCATTCGATGACGAAGCTTCGAGAGGAAGAAAATGTGCCATCATGACATGACTGTTGCCAAGAAACTATGGCGATTTCTTTGGGAGGAACCGCTCTGAGATGAGACATCGAAATTGAATATGATTCATACGGGCAGTTGTAACCGTGCACCAGAGAAGGTTCTTGTTTCAGAGGGGCACCATAATTAGAAGAATGTTGGATTGTGTTAATGAAAATTTACTCTGAACATCACAGTTGAATGCACGTCAAGAGGAAATAAGTATTTATAGAACACAAGGATGAGTTGTCTGTCTTTTTTGGAAGGATTTGAGCACAACATATTTGGGCATATCAACCTCTTGTACATTTAGGGTGGGCTATATATTCGATAGCCATCCCAGATTGTGGAGGCAATTGATTGTTTATGGATTCTAGGGAACCATTCTCGAATATTTCTTAATATTCGAGTAGGATCGAGTCGGTCCAGCTGCAGCCTTCGTAAAGGATTACGGTAATTGAGTACCAAACTCATCCTATTACTATACTACTCTGTTCAAGGCATAGTTATAGAGCTATTAAAGAATGTAATATTCTATTCATGCTAAGATTTAGAATCTAGTATGTAGATTTCATTGATTTTCCAAAAGGGACTTGACGATCAAGCCGATTCTCAAGGCTACGTTTTGGAGATGGAAGTGATCAGTAGATTCTGCTCATATTTTGGGAGATACACTTGGATACTGAGGAGTCAGCATAGTGCACTGTCATGGCGAAGTTCTGTCTCGAAATGGCCCAACTCTGCTCGAAACACACTGATCACACCCCGCCAAACTGATGCGTAGGATTAGCAAAGTTTAAGCCCTTCTTGTTCCATCTTCAGACCGTATTTCGCTGTGCTAACGCTTGATACTGACCGATCAGAAGCGTCGATTTCTTTTCGGCGTAATCTGCAAGATTACTTTGAATGAAGTGTGTCTTTCGCATACCTGTTGAATTTTACAGATTTTTTCAAACCACAATGAAACGAACGTTGAATTTTCGGAATTCGTGAAATTCAACCTATTAGATTATAGGGCAGATGATAGGTTTTTTAAAAACGCTTTTATTGCATTACAATCTGTTACTCATTAGCAATGGCTATCATACTTAGAGAACATTAAACGATTGAAATCGAGTACCGATCGGTCAACTTAGTTTCTTATCACATTTCCTGTGAAATTGCACAGGAAAATTTATTGAATTTAATTATTAGATCAATTTATTGAAATGATCACGATCACGATGCAGTTCTTTTTTGTCGTCGCGGTAATATTTTGTAATAAACAATTCGATCTGGTCAGTGCAGTAGTGACAGTGGCAGACAAAAACAGTACTGCAAGCAGTGTCAGAGAAAGTTTATGATTCGAGTACCCATATTTCTATTCTTTATTACAAATCATCATCATCATCTTTCTATGCTTATTTCTTTCTTTTATTTTTGCCCCAGAACATCGTCGGTTGTAACTGAAAGAGCTAAACCAGACCTTATGATGAAGCGTGATTAACGTTATAGCGGAGAGCAGGGTCCAGGATAATGGGAACAGCTTTAATGTGTTACGAACTTCATTTAGAGTACATTGCTTAATGGCAGTAGAGGTATTTAATAGCAAGTCCTTTCTGGCTCGTACCAAACATTCGACTTCTGCCGGGAACCGTACGACCATTTAGATGCTTGCCTGACTAAATGTGCACAATTACTTTTCCGAGCCTTTCTGACGTCCTCGATTGTGCCTTCGATGGATTCAGGAGCAAATGACTACCGAGTGGAGAAGGTTGGCTCGAACGGGATACGACCCTTGAAGGCCACCTTTGGCGGTGCTTGCGTTAGCGAGTCACTTGCTGTCAGCTATTTTAGCGTTGTGCGATTAGTGAAGCGGAGACAGCTGACGGGTAGGTGTCCTTTATGGTTTAGCCAGTAGGCTAAAAAGGTAAAACGGTGGAGACTTTGTCACAGGGGATACAGGTCAGTTCAATTCAAACTTCGAGCTTGAATTGTTTCGTTTCGATTATTTTGTCTATGATCGATTTCGAAGCTGAGCCATCTCTTTATTTTTTTTTNTTTTTTTTTGAGAACTTTCGTTTTGTCTTTTGTCAATTTCGTCTAAGTCTTGAGGCGTTGGTATCCTTTATAATCTTATACTGCTAGACAATGTAAGTCGGTGAGTCTCGTACCGTACACGGAAAATGTTGGTGAACACTAATCCGGTCATAGATGACTAACTAATTTATTATTATTTTTTTCTTTTCAAGTAATCTAGAGAATTGCTCTACTAGTTTTTGTAAAATACTTCTTCGGTGCTAAATGGGAAGCAGAGAAGGGCAGGTTGATGAAGTCCGAATAAATTTTGCATTAGGTTTATATGTTATCATCCTTTCTTTGCTTACCAATTAATCGAGTTAATTTGCAAGTTGATGTTTGTTCGGAACTATTTCTAAGGGTGTGGAGCCATATGTAAGTGTGGTGCAGTGGCGAGTGGCGCACTACTACGCGCGTATTAAGCGGAAATGTAAGCTCAGATAAATATCCGTCTAGGCTTACCAGGCCTTCTGTCCCCTTGGGGTCGGTAATCAGGTACCAGACTCGTGCAGTACCACACCAAAGTAAGTAGACCTTTCTGACCAACTTCAAAAGTCCGAGGAATTGTTTTTCGGAATCCGTCTGGTCAGACCCGAGGGAGCACTCGTCAGCAAGTTCAAATCTTCGTCGATCTTCATCATCAGTTACGCCATCGTCATCGGTGTGGGAAACGCACAGAATCTGCAATGGTTGTCACCATCTCCACTCCGAAAAGACCGATTTCGTTAGTTCGCTCATCGTCTTCGAGTAATATTGCTTTATGAAAAAGGTAGTGGGAATTCTGTGCAATCTGGTGATAAGGGAAGTGGGTTTGGATAATCAAAAAGCAGCAACATGCATGAATATGAAGTTCAGGATTTTTTCGAAGATAGTATCTTCTTGAAGACTGACGATAACAAAGATCTTTTATTCTTTTTCTCCCTTTTTCTATGGTTATGTACATACGTTTATAACAATGGACATGAGCCTTGACTGTTGTAAACTTTCATAGACCCATCAATAAACTTTTGGAGTACTATTCAGATTTTCACGTGTGTCACATGGTTTTTCCATACCTGGCAATACCTCGACATGGAATACGGCGGGTAATTTCGTTTCGTTGGAAATTTTCTTCGACAGGGATGCTGCAAATCCAGGAACAGTCCATGGTGCAGGTTCCGTTTGAGCCACAAATACAAACGGTAGATTCATAACTACCACGATAACAGTTATTCCGAGGAACAACCGAGACCACTGAAAAAGCAAGATTTGAAGTGATGCAGGTATGAGATTGAATTCAAGTTCGTACTCAAAAAAAAATCATGATGAAATGTTCCAGATACTCAAATTGAATAATTTTGCTTTTGCTGTCTGGATCGCTGTTATTTATAGTCAAGGGTCCCGGCATATTCAGGATTTGTGGCGTCTAAGCGAATCTCCATAGAGCAGTGAGTTTTTGCTTTTTTTCCCAAAACAGTCTCGGTAAAGCAATAAGATCATAGAATAGTATAGTCGCCTGATGCGTGAGTTGATGTGGAGTCGATTTGTAGTTAACTCGATCCCGAAAGGAGGTGTTTACATGAGGTTTGTCAGGGCGGTTAAGTAGAACTTGTGTTCAGCTGAAAGGGTTTCCAAAGAAGGAAATCATCAGTGTGCCTCTACTTGATAGAACTGTTGTCAGACCTGTGCTTGAGTGTTATCCGGGCAGACAAGTGTAACAAATACGGGAAGTAGAAGTGTAATTATACAACCGATTCCCGACAGTACTGCCATAACGAAGTGCACATGCTGGCGAGCTCTCTGAAAAATGAAACCATGTTTATTGTTGTTCGCTGACTACTTTCTTGAACCTTTTACGAGTTTTATTAAATTAAGGGAAAGCGGGTGAAATTCCCTGACCTTATCCTTTGGCTGTTTATCAGATATGCTCTTGTGCACTACTCTCTGGAGTAATGAGAAAAAAAGTAGGGAAAGAGGAATAGCTGTGGGTTCGCGAAGGGGAACTTTTAATCAGTAAACATTGTATGAACGATGTCTTTTCGTTGGTTGGAAACTCCTATTTTCTGAATGTTGAGCTCATTAGCAGGGAGAAGCATTTTGTGGCTTCTTCAGATTTCCCCAACCAATTTGGAGGTTCTACGATGTTGGGATCAGTAATTGAACACTCAGGGAAGGTGGGTGGGAACCAGCTACAAAAGGTGAAGGTATTGAGGAGAAGTATGAATAGTGGTCCTCTTATTATCATGGTAGCCACTAAACTGTTAATCACGGGCGTTTTGCGGATTTCACTGTATTATATGCAAACCAGCCCATGGTTTCTCTTCGAGGGCCTAATCAGCGAAGGTCAAATTTGTGGTACGTTCAATACGGAAGGAACACAGAACCATGACTCTAATTGTAAGAGATTTCGATACCAACGGAATTTAGTGTACGCATATTTGTTTTCAAAGCTTCATCAGGTTGAGTTTGTTATTGTTTTGGGTTGCGATGTTGTCTATTGGCATTTTGTATTATTGCCACACTTCACAATATTTTATGGGCATCTACCATCATACTTACCAGCTGAGCGCACTTGACTGCTCCTACCACATTGAGTCCACTGAATACAACTGCACTGGTATAGAGAGCTTGAGCGAAGTGGGGAGAATCCGTCTGAAAAGGCAACATTAGTGGTACAGTCAGTCACATCGTCCTCAAGTTCCCTTTGCTAGATAGTATTCAGCCCTGACGTTTTATGGTCAAGTATTATTATGCCACCTCACAATTTACAGGCGGCTGCGACGCAACCGCTTGCTTTTATGTCTGATTTCCGAGCCACGATTGTTTACTGATATATGTAGTTTACTGCAGAAAAAGAAGAAATTATACGAAACTTACGAATGCCAATGCGAAAAAGCAAATAGCCATGCAACCCTGGGAAATAGATCCGAATATAATTACTCGTATTCGTTCCGAAATGCAAACACTGCGATCCGAAATAGGACCGGCAGCTATTTTCACGGCTGCAGATAGTAAATACGGTAATGCTGTGGCAAAACCAGTAGATTTCACTTCGAAATGCAGCACCTGGAAATGCTGTTTTTGTTACCTTTCACTTGGTATGGGCTTCATCAGTATATATCGAAGAAGTCTTTCGAAGTATAACAGGTTCTTAGGAGAGTTTATGTAGGTCCTGGACGTTTCCCTGAACGAAATGGTTTTTTTTTGGAGCCAAACCTTCTAACACCGCTCGATAACACTGACTTTCTCATGGACAAGTTGCTGATCGAGAGCTTTTGATAAATTTTATATGTAGATAGGGATCTTCTTCGATGATATTGCACGCCTACTTTTAGTGGCACTGGTCGTTTTGTACATTTGAACACACTTTTGAATACTGCTCACCAGTGGACGGAATTGGCGAGACCAAATTTTCCACGTGCCCCCATTGGTCAGCAGAATCGAGAACGGATTGTCTGCGCCAACCCTTGGGGTGTTCACCGATCGCTCTTTCCATCCACCGGATACTGTCATGTCATAATTGTGGATCAATGCTGAACTGACCTTATTAGAAGGGCACCGGCTCTTGTGTAAATGAATCAGCATCGGTCTTATCAAGTTGGATTTTAGCCAACTCTTTTTCGCTTACATTGCTGAAGCAAGGAGTTGTGAGTTCCATCAAGGTAAAAGGGGCTTTAGCAGTTAAAGGATGATACCTGTGAAGAGCTGGGGAATCTTGGAAGAAATAGCAGAAGACGATGAAAAGTAGAAGTGTGAACAGTCCTTGAAGGTAGTAGAGCGATCTCCAGCCATATGAACTTTCACATATGATTCCGGCCAGTGGCATTGTGATAATCGAGCAAAGCTAAAATTGCTATTTTGAATCGAATGGAATTTTGTCCTTTTGGAATTTTGAAAGTTGCAAATATACAGTCAGACTGCGCCAAGAACTATTGAAAAAATCCTGGAAATTGCACAATAACTGCTGCGCGCGGTCGCGTTGCGGCCTGCCACTGCAGTCTCCTTCGAATTATATAATTTGATCTTCTTCAGACTCCTCTTACTTCATCATTACTCCTTTTTTGATTTTTGCATTGAATGCTAACAAAGCGATGTCACTTGATGCGATATCGCAACGGTTTTTACACTCTCCGCACTTTCACACACGCAATGCAGCCGCCCGCTTTATTGCGAAATTTCGATTTCTTCATTAGTGCTGGAGTAGAACTGAAATCACAATTACGAGCAATACTGCTCTCAAATCGAAGGTAATGTGGAAATTGGTCTAAAATCGGAAATTTAGGAGTTTTCTGTTCTCAAAGTTTTTGAAGTGCTGAACTCACTTGAACATGGGTTGAAAGGATCGCTATATAAGTGCCCGATTCCTTGAGTCGGGACCATTGTGATGCTACAGCACCCAATGCTGATAATGTGATACCGATTGAAAAACCCTGAAATCGATTTTCTCTTTATTTCAGGGACTGGTTGGTGTTGGTCGGAAGTTTTTGAAAATGGCATCACCTGTAGAAAACGGACAATCAACACGTACACAAATCCCCATTCCACCGCAAGCGGAAGTATAAACGTGGAGATGGCCGAATTCACGCCATAGATGGTCAGTGTTTTTCTTAAAATAAGTTTAAATGAAAAGAAATAGGAATAGCGATCAGCATTATAAACGTGGGCTTGGTCAACTAAGGATTGCAAAAGTGAATATTCTTCTTTCTGTTGGATGTCAAAAGGAAGTAAAATAGAGAAGCTGTCAGAGTTATTAAGTAGGAGGACTTGAGGCTAAAACTACCATGTGTTTCTCATGAACTTGATTCTGAAAGAAAAAATTGCGGGAGTACAAACATGATGCATGCAAAAGAAGTAAAGCCGGAGAGGCGAGTAATAGTATCGAATCGGGGATGGCTGCATTCACATCTGCCGATACTCTGCTTAATTGTTATTGTAGATACCGCTCTTTTTTTCAGCAAAAATTTATTTTCGCTATATTCCCAAGTGATCCCATAGCCGTCTCGTTTTTTGTTTTGTAATTTTTGTATTAGTCGATGATGTATTTTCATGTTGAATCGTTGTGGTTGTGTTGTTTTTCTGGCAACTCAATTAGTGGCATTGATGGGGTATTAATCGATATCAATCAATATCACTAATATAATAATGTGGATCAAATTTTCCCAGTACCTCATTCCAATTCGAGCAACACACATCATAATCGGCAACGTTCCGATCAGTGAACCGATAGCTATTGCAGAAAATAGTGCATTGGTGTGAGAGGGCGATTGAAGCCAGTGTACCTCTGAAATATAGGATTTCTCTACTAATTAGATCTAAAAAACAGTATGATCCCGTAAGTCTTCATCGATTTTTTCGTCATTAGCTTTTCACAACTTATAATTAATCTAATTGCTATAAGATGGATCACTTTGAAGCCAGAAAAGTAAGTCTCAGCAAAACAATATTATGTTAATTTTCAACGATGGTTTCAGATGTAATGATAGCCTGTTTGCTCTAATAAAATCCCTATGATAGGTTAAATTTTGGATACGTTCCGATTCGATCGACACAACATCCGAATCCTACCTCAAGATATCTTTCTGTCGTCTCTAATTCGCAGAAATTTTGGGCTGCAGGGAATGTTATTCCCTATGGTGCAGATTTCCTTGAAAAGGGTATCCGTTCGAGGGTTATAATAATCGCGATATTATTCTTAGAATCGCTCGTCCATGATACCCCTAAAAGCATTCAGCACTATGCCTTCTTTTTTGTTGTTTTCCGCTGCTTTTCTGCAAAATTGCATCTCATTATAGTCTACATAGTGCTAGAGTTTTAAATAATATTGTTGTAACTAATGTGCTCTTTGATAATATTAATGCTCGATATCCCTTCATAACTCGAAATAGCGGCAAGAGGCTCCAAGAGGTTGCATTAATATTTATAGGGCATTAACATATACCAATTATGGCAAGCAATCCATTTCTATCCAAATTCTTTTCATTTCCTGAAGGTAATGTTTTGCAGATTAAAAATAGTTATTGTTTACTTCTAATTTTCAACTAGGTAGGAGAACACGAATTTGAATCTGTGAGAAAATCACTACTATGTTCGAACGTTTAGGCAGGATTTTTTTGCATTGCGCGCGGTCGCATTGCGGTTCCCAAACCACCGCGACGCAACCGCACGCATCACAAAAGTGGCGTCCTACTTGTTCCGAATTTTCGAAGCTATGCACTTTTTTCGAAACCTTATTAATAAGTGCTAGATCTGCTCACCTCCAGAAGAGTTATGGCCCTGCTCATTGATGACGTCATCCATGCAGATCACGGTGAAATTGAGCGCCAATGTATTACTTTGAAGCATTGTAAGACATAACGTCGACAGTACCAAAATAACTAGTCGGGTACGGTCGTAAAAGAAAAACCGCGATGGTGAGGTGTCGGTAGAGGCATTTTTGGGTGTAAACTCGCCAATTTGATTACACAGCTCTTTGCTTTTCGTCGCGTTTTCGAAACTTACTCTTGCCATTTACAGTAGTCACCTGAAAAGGCTTTAAACCTAAAAATCACAAAACTTTGATTGTTTTGTTGATTCGATTGTTCAATTGATTGTTTTTAATTTGCTATGTGGAGTTGTAATTCTTATGTACTTGAAGACAGACGTCGGAGCGCAATCGAAACTATTGGGAGAGGCCCTAGTCATACAAGCTAAAGAAAACAAATAGAGACGAGTAGGCGAAATTGAAAGCCCAGGTTCTTGGAAAAAGAAGACGAATTTAAGACGTTTCCATAGTTACGGTCCTTCCCGGCAATTTCAAGTGCAGTCGGGCTGCGTGGTTGGTAAAAGTAAACGCCTCGCAGTTGGGTTGAGCTGCTCAGTATAGTTTTGAGCCTCAACGATAAATTTTTACCCTTACTGCTACAGCTAATGAAAGTTTAATGTCAGTGAGTAGAATTCAGGAACGCCGTAACCCTCCTACTGATTTTATGAGCCTCAACGATAAATTTTTACCCTTACTGCTACAGCTAATGAAAGTTCAATGCCAGTGAGTAGAATTCAGAAACGCCATAACCCTCTTGCTGATATTATCCTAAAAGTTCGTCCATCGAACCCAGCCAATTGTACTTGTGACAAGTTCAAGTGATTGGGTGGGTCGAATCTGTATTATAATAGATGGTTGTATCGTATGAAACCTTTAGATCTTTTACGTAGGGAATGAACCGGGTTTTTAAAGAGTGGCAAATGGCAATTTGCTGTTAAAATTAGTCAGTATTCCGAGCTGATACAATTTGTTAAAGACGGTGCCATTTTATGAATGAATTCAGATACCTAGTTGAAATTACTAAATTAAAAAAATGGGAAAAAGCTATCGATACGCGAAACAACACGGGCGATCGATTCGTGATGTATTGCTTAAGACTCCTTATCGCAATCATTGAATACTTTTTTTCTAGTGAGGGTTGC